AGTAATGACTTTCAAAAATATATCCCTCCCTTAGGATAAAAATGCTACAGAGGCCAGTGAGCAGCCCTTGGGAAGACTGCCTGGTCTCACACTTCCCAAGGATAAACAGAATGATTGTTTCTAAAGAGATAATTCTAGTTTGCTGTCCACTGAAAGGGTAGTGACTGAGTTGGAGCTGATGTTATTAATAGATGAAGAGGAACTGGAAGGGAAACTTTGGCAGGCTTCCACCAACCTTCACCAAGATCATCTGAACCAGTTGTGTGGTAAAACTCATGGCAAATAAGTTATAACTTTATATAACTCAGGAATAGTTACTGGTTAATCCTTAAGAATATTTGGAATAACAAGAACATAGAATATTCAGTCACATATAATTAATCCCCGCAAAGGTATCTTTGGTAAGTGTGGCATGCTGCATTGTTCATATCTTGCACGTTCATGGTTCTTGGCCCTGGTAATACATTAGAATCAGTGCAGGGTCTTCTAAAGGAGATCCAGGCCTGGGGCCCACCCAGACCTATTTAATAGAACCTTTCAATTCTCAGACTAAGGAATAAGTCCTAAGAAGGATGAACTTTTAAAAAATGAAATTCACACATACATACTCATAACAATGCTATCCTTTGATAGTACCCTATTCTATTTTCAATTTCTTTTTTTCATTTGATCATTTCAATATTCTCTGCTTCTTCTGTTGGGTGAAGTTCGTGGGTGTCCAATGCTACCGTTTGTTATGTGTGCAGACATTCACTCATGGTAAGTTTTTCACACTGACACTTGCTGGAAAGGAAATGGCTGAAAATGTCAAACTAGCATGTTCTAGTTTTAAGATAAATGGTATTTTTCCTATTGTTTATTAAGCAGATTTTACATGATATCTATGTTTCCATATACCTATGTTTTTGTTCTAAGTTTGATAAAATTGGAGGTTTGGTTTTAAAAGATTTCCTTTTAACATGTTAACATCCTTTGAAGAGTTAAGCAGTGCTATTAGTCATTCAGAATTTAATGAAAACTAGCAAAGCGCAGTGGCTCACACATGATCGCTTGAGCTCAGGATTAAAAAATATATATATTAGCCAGGCACTGACAGCACACGCCTGTAACCACATTACTTGAACATAAGGCTTTAGAGCTTTTCTTGTTTTTAAAATCTTTTTCTTCACATCTACAGGCTTCTGCTAAGACCTCCACTGACTTTCTCCAGAAAAGACTCTTAAATTACTTTTGCCACAATGACTTCATATTAGGCTTATCAATGACTAGATATTGGTCTTCATCATTTCATTTTTTAAAGTTTTGAATTTCTTAGTCAATGATCAGTGGTTGTGTTCCTTGTTAATTTGTATCTTCATTGTAGCCCTTAACACATTTATAATGTAACAAGTTGTCTTATCTGTCTCCAGGACAAAAGAGTTCTATACAGGATTATATCTCATTCATTTTATATTCCCAGCACTTAGTACAGTTCCTGATACAAATATGTATTGGGTAAATTAACCCATATTGCCTATTAGTCAATAAAGTTATGGTGACTTTTCTATTACTAAGAATAAAAAAAGATGCTGTGCTCAACTGTGTTCTGAACATTACAATGTGAAAAAACTTAACTCACTTTCAAATAAAAATAGAACAGTTCTAAGACTCACATTTATAAACCCACATTATCTGATTCTTTGTCAATTAGTCTTAGAATCTCAAGTATATGAGTTCTTTCTTCCTCCTAATGCTGCTAATTTGTCCTTTTCTTGAAAATTCACATCTTATTCATTGCCTCAATTCAAAATATAAATGTGCACATTTGAAAACAATCCTTAATATTTAAACTATACTAAAATTATAACTGTTAGACTAATTAGACTAAAAGACCAACCACTTAAGGCTTTAATGGCTTCGTTATGTTTTTCTTAATAGAAAAAAAAATAGGAAAGATGTAAAGGCTGACAGGAAAAAAAAAAACATTTTTGAATAAAGACAAAATCCAAAATAAATCAATGTAGTTTTTAAAATTGTATCAGATTTTCCCAGCAGAAGAGCCAGTTAAAAGCAAGATCTTTGGATGTAAAATAGGGGTGTCTAATATTTAACTTCAAGTTATTTTGCGATGTAAACTTCTATCAATCACCTCCCAAACTTAAGTTGACTTAGGTAGGTGTGTGTGTGTGTGTGTGTGTGTGTGTGTGTTTAGACACAAATGAACAATCATCTCCCAAATCAGATGCAGTATAGGACAAAATAGGGATAGTAAATGTGAGACAGGAAGATAATTCACACATAGACCCAACTCCATGGTAATCAGAGCCACAGAGGCCCAGAAAAAGGTTAGCAATTGACCTCATCCCAGAGAGAATGAAAAGACACAGGGCTTTCTTCACTTATAAAATGAGGTTTGAGCCAATTGTATTTGATTCTCAGGTGATAGGCACTTTAATGACTACTGGAATTACATGGAATTGAAAGTGAAAGAAGCCTTAAGAAAAACTTGTTCGGGTTGCAATTTTAAAAGGAAAGTGTCAACATAACATAATGATCAGCAGAGAGCTTTGGAGCCTTGACCATTCATTTGTTTATGATGAAGCTAACCCAGAACTATCTTTGCTTGGGGAGTGGGGATAAGGAGGAAGCACCTCCTATAGGACTCTGAGTCCACTCGAGTGCAGTCATTTATTCAGACAGTCTTGGTTAGGTGCCTTCGGTTTCATTAGAGGATTTTAACCATGATTTGTTTGTTTGCACTGGTTGCTTTTAATCATCAAAATCACTCTGTGTTCCAAGACCCTGCCATAGAATATGACCCATATATTTCACTGTCTCCAACTCTCACCAAAATCAGAAGTTGAGGCTGGTCCAAAGATAGTGAGTTATATCTGCTGATTGTTTAAAGTCAGTTACAGATCAAACTATTTGTTCTACTCTTTCCTCTTCAGCACTTGACTAGTCTTAAAAAAAGAAAAAAAAATCAGATTCAAAAAGGTTTCAGTATCATTCTCACAGGATGATAGCCTAAAAGATGTGTACTTTATTCATCTTTGTAATTTGTCTAGATTTTAACCCTGGACAAACCAAAACATTATTCATTAAGCTGAATAAATATTTGAACAATGTTTTCTTTTTTCTTGTTTTGTTTTTGACAGTCCCTCTACTCTTATAAAATTGCTTTTACTGAAATGAGCCTTGTTGTGATGCCATCTGTTTACTTGCTATTGGATTTATGGGTGAGATATATTGAGGAAATTGCCTCAGCCCGGACCTTCATAAACCCTATGGGAGAAGATTTCCTCAGACCTAAGTGCAAAGAAGAGCTTTGGCTCTCCTAATCAAACGACACATTCTTATTTTATAGGCCACATAAGCCTTGTGAATACCTGGCCATGTTAATAAACTTAATTTAGCTGAAATTAATTTTTCATTTTTAACTTTTTTATTCTCTTGATATAAATTTCAAATAACACTATTAAAAAAAAATCCACTGCTAAAATGGAAGGCTTTTAGTTAATTAAACATTTTCTCTATTTTCAGAGAAATGAGCTAAACTATAGCCTTTGCAGATTCTTGCCTCTTGACAGAATCAAGTCTCCTTGGAGGTCCCCAGGAGGCTAACATGGAAGCATGGGACTCCTTTGTAACAGAGTCTTCCAATTTTAATGTGATATCACTTCAGCTCATCTCCTGTGAGCATAATCTCAACAGCTAGCAGCCTTCAGCCAATGTGGGTCCTCATGGTCTTCTTGATCAATGATGCCAAACCTGGAAATTTCTATCACCACCATATGCCTGCTCTATGTCTGGCACCCATCGCTGTCAGGTGCCATCTGACTTCAAAGTATGCCATCAACCACATCAGCTGCCTCTACCCTGATCAATCTGGCAAACAGAAGAAATGGACTAAAAGGAAAACAGAAAAAAACTAGAAGAAAAAAAAAATCAACCCTAAACTCAGATTTTAAATGTTTACTTTTTAAAATTTTTTTTAAGAGATAGAGTCTCACTGTATTACCCAGGCTAGATTTGAACTCCTGCATTCAAGTAATCCTCCCGCCTCAGCCCTCTAAGTAGCTGGAACTACAGGTATGTGCCACTGGTCCTGGCTCAGATTATATTTTAACTTGATAACTTCTAGAAATACAAATTGTATTACATTTGTATATGGATTTTATTTATATGCAAAATATAAAAATGTCATTTAGAAATTTCAGATATACTGAATTCATTAGGAGATATATTCTAATAAACATGTTCTCTTTCCTCTGGATATTAACCTTTAGAAAAATCTATGCTGAAATAGACAATTCTCAATTGGCAGCACAAAAAACATGGTCCCTTAAAGATCATCTTTAAAAACTTATTTTGAAGCTGTCCAGTATATGCACTTGCCATCAATGTACTATTGGAAGGAAAATAAATTGTAATATAAGCTCAAGAGATACATTAATAGAAAAATAAATATTTCCAAAAACTCTTAAATGAACCAAAGTATTTAAGAACTGTGTTATTTCAGATCACTGAAGCTTTTCATGAAAGTAGTCATTCAAGGGTTACTTCCTAACTCACTCTATGAGGCCAGCATTACCCTGATGCCAAAGCTAGACTAAGACACTACAAAAAAATTACAGACCAATAAGCTTTATGAATATTGACACAAAAATCCTTAAAATACTAGCAGACCAAATTCAATAGCATATTTAAAGGATTACCCCCCATGACCAAGTGGGATTTATTCCTAGAATGCAAGGATGGTTAAACATATGAAACAAATCAATGTAATATACCACACATTTACAGGATGAAGGAGAAAAAATATTATCTCAACTGATATAGCAAAAGCATTTGACAAAATTCAACACTTCTCATGATTAAAAAAAAAACACAAACTAGGAATAGAAGGAAACTATCTCAACATAATCAAAGGTTGTCTGTACTCAAATATAACATACTTAGATTAATAATCTGTATCAGGGAAACCAGACTCATTTAAAATTCCCATGAGGAGTACTTACCTTCCAGAATTTTCTTGAATTGTCGAAACCATATGTCACAGTGGTCTTCACTTAAATTAATAAGATCAAGTGTAGAATTCTTCAGTTTATTCTGTTCCTTTTTCAAGCAGATGAAAAGTGTAATACCTAATAAAGTGCCACTTCTCTGCTGTTTCACAGAACAACGCCGCTTCAGTTTCACAGAGAATATATCTTTGAGTTCAATAAATTCTTCTTTACATAGCATGTCATACTTGGAATCACCTGAAAAGAAATTAAATTTTCCAATCAAAACCATGTGTCCATATCTTAAATGTATGAATAACAGTTAAAACTCAAAATCATTTGTAATTTTATGGATTATCCTTCATGTCAGTCCCTATTTGAGATGGGAAAGGAAAAAAAAAATTGGATCTATTTTCCCCAAGAATGTAGGGGGTGGGGAGAATAAAATAAATAGAAGAGAACCCCTGCCATACAGGCCTGAAATACTTGGAATCTGAGGATATTCAATGTATGAAGGATTCCAAGAACAAAGCAACATTTCAGTAATAATAAACTGGTATCCCTCAGGAGCTCCTTGATACTTATAGGGAGAAAGTAAAGTAATGGGGAAAAAATAGAATTCATTAACAGAAGTGAGTTTGTAACAAGTTGTTAAGGGCACTGAAAGGAAAGGAAATATACATTCCTGGTGAAGTAACACACGTGCAAAAGGGAAGCACAAGTACGATTACTGTGAGCGGAAAACATGAACTCCTGCCAGTCTAGAAAGAAATATCGTCCTGGATCTTACCACATTCGAACTTTTTAAAATTGTGGTGAAATTTTTATCAGTTATCTTTACACACAGGCCAAAAAATAATTGTTGTGGTAAAAGACCATTTCAACCTTGACTCTCAAAGTAAAAGAATTTTAGACTTAAAAAGACAAAATAAAACAAAAAAGACTTCCAAAATTTCTGCTTCTGTCCAAAAGAGAATGACAGGGACTGGTTTTATCTTCTGCCCGAAACAACTACAAAAGCACATGAGGTATACGGAACAGCTGTTTTCAGGCATTGGACATCAGGTAGCCTAGGACAGTGATCCCTGAGAGAGGAAGCCAACAAAATGAACCATGTATCTTGAGTTTCCAGGCCACGGTGCAGGCAGGAGAACCCTGGTGCTTTCCCTGAGTTGGGGAAGAATTGAGGTCTAGGAAGGCCAAGGTGACCAGAGTTCACTGTGCATTTACTGAAGACTAAAAGGCTACTTAGAGTAAACTCCACAGGTTTGCAGAGGTCCTTCAATTCTTCAGCTGAGCATTTGATCAGCATGTGTGTGAGGCCAGGGTAAGAACTACTCCAAGGATGAACTCAACAATGCTCAGAGATATCACCCAGATCCTCCTACCAGCCAAAATAGAAAAACATTAAAATTCATGGGACATTATGGAGAGAGTTTAGAAGACTATTGTCTCATTAATGAGCTGACTAAAGGCTGCTGTGAGCACATCTAACAAAGCTTAAGAGCAGATCCCCCGCCCCCCAAAAAATCACACTGTTTTCAAGTAATTTAACTGCGTTCTAGAACAAAGCTCAAGAATATTTACAGGAGGCCAGAAGTAGGGGCTCACACCTGTAATCCTAACACTTTGGGAGGCCAAGGTGGGAGAATTGCTGGAGGTCAGTAGTTTGAGACCAGACAAGTGAGACTCCATCTCTACAGAAAAAAAATAGAAAAATTAGCTGGGCATAGTGGCACATGCCTATAGTCCCAGCTACCTGGGAGGCTGAGGCAGGAGAATCACTTGAGCCCAGGAGTTTGAGGTTGCAGTGAGCTATGATGACACCACTGCACAGTAGCCCAGGCAACAGAGCAAGACTGTCTCAAAAAAAAAAAAAAAAAAAGAGAAAAATTTACAGAAATACAAAAATATCCAGCAACTCTAAATGATAAGATTCACAGTATCTCTCATCCAATTCAAAGTTACGAGGTATGCAAAGAAGCAGAAAAATATAGCCCAGGAGGGAAGAAGGAAGGAAGGAAAAAACAGAATATAAATGTATTTATTATCACTGATCTGTGATACTTAAAAATGGTAAAGAGGGTGAATTATATATTATATATGTATACTTTATCTCAATAAAAAGGCTCATTAAAAAATATATGGTGCAGGAGAGGAGAAAAAAAAATCCACAGAAAGAGATGCAGAAATGACCTGAGTGCTAAAAACAACCGAAAGCAGCATCTTCTCCTGGCCTTTTAGCCATGGAATTATGCAGAATGGTCTCCTCGGATTGGAGCAAGGACTTTCAGGTGCTTTAACATGTTCCTTGCCTGCATTCTCCGGGAGTTTTTTTGGGTTTTTGGCCTAACCATTCTGCAAACTATAGCCTATTGTTCACAAAGTAAATGGACCACTAAAAAAGAGGGAGTGAAAGCCCTTTTCTCAATGATTATGGTAGGTGAGATGGGGTGAATCCACAATACATTTTTCAGGCCTGTCATTTCTTAGAAGGCTCAGATTCTGGGTCTTCCTGGAGTCCGCTTCTAGAATCAACCAGTGACCTAACAATCAACAGCCTCAAAGTATCAATTCAACAGGCTTTTTTTTCCTTTGAGTATCAAACATTTCATATGTCTTAGAAAACCAAACATTCATCACCATTACTATAATCACCACTTAAACTAACCAATAGAGTGACAGTATTTGAGCCAAAGTGTTCTGTTCTGTATGCCTTTATAAAGAGAATGATTCTCCCTATCCCTTTTCTGTAACTACTAACTAATTAACCGATGTTAGCAAGATTTACTTTTCTCTAGTATGGTAGTTTCCAGACTCTTTAGTTTCATAGCCTGGTATGAACTCTTAAAGATTGAGGGCCCCAAAGAACTTTGGTTTATGTAAGTTATATCTATCTACATGTATTATATTAGAAATTAAAACACTTTTTAAAGCACAAGAATTCAAAGTAGATACTCCATTAGGGCAAGGGTGTCACTATATATCCTGTAGCCTCTGGAAAATTCCACTGTATCCTTGGGAGAGAATGAAAGTGAAATACACTCTTAGTATAATAATATTATGAAAACAGTTCTGACCTCACTAGGCCTCCGGAAGAGTCCCTGAATCACACTTTGAAAATGCTACTTTAACATATTGAGATTGTTTATTCCCTTTGATTATACTATGAAGTTATGCCCTTTTACAGATTGAACATTTCAATTAACTAAAATTTTTGTTTCCATTTTAATACTTAAATTTGTCACCGACTAACCAGTGAGAGTCCTCCAATATGGCTCCTTTGTTCCAACCTATAGATGTCTTTGAAAATAGCCTTTCAAAGGCTATTTGTAGTATTTTGTAGTATTTCAAGCTCATTGGCATTCTTCAAGGAGTCCTGGTTCCTTTTGAGGAAAACTATATGAAAAACTAAAATCTGGCCACTATGGTTTTATACACAAAGGAAGACAAACCCATTCACAGTAAATCATCAGTAATATATTTGTGCCTGTTGATCAGGTAAGCATATGGCCAGGCTTTCCAGAACACTTGGGAGAAACCAAAGGAGATCTTATACTCTTCCCTCAACCCTCAAGAATGGAAGGAGTCAGGCTTATCAAGGAAAAATCCCCACCCTATGGTGTGTCATGGACTATATGGTAAATAGTGACCTGTGAAGTTTAACATTTGTCTTCCACATGGGGGTGCTGCTGGGTGTCCGCTTCATATTGCCAAATGCATAAGGATAAATTGTATCTATCACTCACCCATCTAAAGAAACTTGTAGTTTTGGTTAAATCTATGGATGTCTTTCCAAAAATCAGTTAGCCAAACAATTAGTACAATTTAACATCTTTTCATTATTTCTTTTTCATTTGTACTTTTAAAGAGAAGGGGTTTTTCTATGTTTGCCCAGGCTAGAGTGTAGTATAGTGGCTATTCACAGGTGTGGTCACAGTGCACTATATCCCTGAACTCTTGGGTTCAAGGGATCGTCCTGCCTCAGCCTCGAGAGCAGCTGGGACTACAGGTGTACACCACTGCTCCCGCCTCACTTTACCTTTTTTTTTTTTTTTTTTAAGAACTACACATGCTTTTTTACTACACATGCTTTTCCTGTTCCTACTGGTTGCTTGTCTATTTTTATTAATTCTTAGAGTCCTTCAAATAATTTTGAAATTAGTCCCTTCTTACATATATTGCAAATAACTTCTTATAACATTATCGCCTTATGTCACATAAATTTAGGGTTTTTTTATGTAGCCAAATATACAACAAATAAGATACCAAGGAAGGAAAGGAGGGAGAAAAGAAAAGCAGCCACTGAGGAAAAGAAAAAAATGGAAGGAATGAAAAACATTCTTTTCACTCTCCATTTGAATTCCTGTATTACAGTCTGAAATCTTTAATATGTGTGCTTTGTTTTTTGTTAACAATATTTCAATTTAAAATGTCCTATAAGTTATAAATTTGAAGATATTAAGGCAACAGTCAACACATTTAGTAGTAAACCAGAAGAATCACCAGAAACAGTGCAAGAATACCTGTTATCATTCTTACTATTCCCAATTATTCTAGACATTCCAGTCAACACTATACATAAGGAAAATGAAATAAAAGACAGCAATTGATGGAGTAAGAGAAAAGGGAAAGCTGAAACCATAACTATTTATAGATGATCTCACAATTCGTAAAATCCAAAATAAACTTATAATCATTCAACCTAAAAAATATGCAGTAAGGAAGCTGGTTACAAATATGTCTATACCCAAGAAAGTATAATGAGGATAAAGAGATTCCATACTAATCACCATATTAAACCTAGGAATAAACTTAGCAAAATAGTGCTGGACTTGTATGGGGAAAAAGGCCATTCAAAATTTACTGAGGCAAAGAATTGAATAAATGAGATATACCAAGTTCCACAATTACATACTTTCCATCCTAATATTCTCATTATTAAAAACTACTCAAAACTTCAATCAAAATCTCAATGCTATTTTCTTTGATGTGAGGGAGGGGCAAGGAACCTGATCAATTTATTTTTGAATTCTCTTGGAATAATAAATATATTAAATAAGAAAATGTTTTAAAAGTAATGAAGGCAAGTATATGCCCTAACAGATATATGTGGTAAAGCTATAATAATTAAAACAACTAGGAATAGAGAAATGAATGGACCAGAGAAACATTTAATACTCTGCAAAAGATGATTTAGAACTGTCTAATCTTTTGAAAAGAATAGAGCCCTATTTTGTAATATATATCAATATTTC